TATTACAAATAATTACTCCCGTCAATATATGATAAAATCGTGTTAATTTTGATATCTCAATGTATCTGAAATAGTTCGGTCAGTGTGATCATGAAGTGTAGGCACGACAGAATGATGAGATAGAGCACCTGAGTACTAGTTAGATAATCGCTACCTGGAAGCATTTCAGATGAGGAAACGAAGCTCATTGTTAAGTGTACTTGGTGTAACAAGTACACAAGAGATGTTGCTAACTCTAACATCACTTGAAGACTTGTCAAATGCTATGCGTAAAGCCGGTTTACAGTCCACAAATTTAATTTTTGGTAAAAGTTCTAATTTTTAAATGGAAATTAGAATAATTTCGCTGCCTATTGATTAAACTTTATTCAAGTAAATCTTTTCGTATTTAGAAAATTTACACGACGTCCTTAAATTCCCAAACATTTAACTTCATTGAATTTCATTAATTTTATTGATAAAAACCGATAATGATGACATCATCATGTTCAGGTATTGACTATACGGCTAGCAACAAGTATCAAGGTGAACGGTGCTTCCAAGGGCGGTCTTTACATTCCATAGATACTTTTAAAGAAAACCCATACCAACAGGTAGATGAATTGTGCAAATTATTTTGTAAGTATGAGAGAAAAACTCATTTTTCTTCACATCAATTGCAAAAAGTTCCTGATACTTAATGATTCTATTTGCGGTTGGATCACTTGATAGGCTTCTAAGCCACGTGAAAATAGTAATCGATACAAAACCAAAAAGTGTTTAGGTAATTAAAATAATGGGACGGATACTGGCACCGTTTGCCACATCTGGTTTTATACCGGCTTATGGTTTCGGGGATGTGAAAACCAGTGATTGGTCGGTGTTCAAACTGAAGCCTGAGGGAGAATGCAAAGATCTCGATGAATTGTTACAGTAATTTGACATTTTGATTTTGAATACTTTCTAAATCTTAAATTTTTCTGATATCTCGAGACAGAATCAGAAACATCCACAGTATTACTCTGCATCCTTCAGGTCTGCACAATCTCTGTGGAAGATTGGATGTAATTTTGTATGACCAGTTACTAGAAATTCTCGAGAAGTGTAGGAGTATATCATTTTTTTTAATTCTTTAGCATTCTAATAGCTATGGATGTTTGTCCTTGCAGAGTATATGATGCAATCACTCCAACAATAAGTTTAAGTGGTCCGACAAATTTCGCTCCATTGATTTACGAAGCCATTGAAATTTGCGAGAAAGTCCAAAATGTTTGTCTTCTTGATTGTTGTTTATTAAATTAGAAGAGGGAAATCATTCTTGTGAGGAGGCTTCCCAGGAATTCCAAAATCACTTTATATCAAACGAAAAATTGAGCTTTGATTAAAACACGCTTGCACTAACTGTTACTATAATCTTAGCGATTCTAATGATTGGGAAGAAATAAGCTTTAATCACTTAATCGAAATAGTCTTTAATCACTTAAATGAAATAATCTTTAGCCGTTATTTGTGGTCAGATATTGAAATAGGAAGGGATTCTTATTGAAAAGTTTGTTTGCAGTATCATATACAGTGATAGTAGC